CCTCGTCTTCGAAATAGTTTTCCGTTTGATTCCAATTTGAGTACTGTACTGTACAACTAATTCGCACTTGAGTGACGCGTAGCCGAACCGATACGAATCGTGAAGTAAAAACACAATTCATCCACAATGGTCTCCCTAATATTTTCTAAAGAATCAAAATGACCCCACTGTACGACAACCAATTCGCACTTCAGTGACGCGTAGCCGAACCGATACGAATCCCGAAGTAAAAACACAATTGATTCGCAATGTTCTATCGGTTACTGAATTAACGAAATTATTACAATGTGTACAATAAAGCAAACCTCAAATATGCGGTCAGTGAATTAACGAAATTATTACAATGTGTACAATAAAGCAAACCTCAAATATGCGGCCGAGAACCGAACCGATACGAATCCAGAATTAAAAACACAATTGATCCGCAATGTTCTACGGTATTGTATTAACGAAATCATTACAAATGTACAATAAAGCAAACCTCAAATATGCGGCCAAAAGCACCAACGAAATTATTACAATGTGTACAATAAAGCAAACCTCAAATATGCGGCCGAAAGCACTCGAACAAATCTATTACAGAATGTACAATAAAGAACCTCAAATATGCGGCCAAAAGCACTCAAGCAAGCGAGCCAAATAAGATGTCCAGAGAGAAGCAAACAGTCGCTCCTGTTCTCAAACCACGCAAAATTCAAATGCGTCGGGCATCGAACTAACAGATAAATAATGATGTATGGTGTTTGTGATCGAGATATGTCAATATAGGAGCAACACACAGATGAAGTTATTTCACCATAAACCATTACGGATTCGGAAGGATTTTCAAAAATTCATCATGAAATAACCCGGACACCAAAAAAACTCATCTACTCGGAAAGACTGAACTCCCTGAACCTGTTCTCTCTAGAACACCGTCGGATGTGGGGGAACCGCATTGAAGTGTACAAAGCTACCAGAAAAATGAAGCAGTCCCCCATTGGACACGTGTTCACCCTTAGGAGCAACAACATCCTCCGAGGGCACTGTTACACACTAGAGAGAACCAGGTGCAGTGTATCAATCGAACATCACTTCTTTGCAAATAGAGTAGTCCCTGCATGTCTTGAAGTCTTGAAGTACTTCACGGGTTCGAGGCCAAGCCTAATGCTCCCGGATCTTGGTTTACCGG